TTCTTCTCTCCTCCTCCTCTCTCTCTCTCTCTCTCTCTCTTCATCCTTCTCTTTTTTCTCTTTTCTTGTTTTTCTTCATATAGTGTGATAAATATAACATAATAAAGTATGATTGTGAGTGTTGAAAAGGAAACAAAAAGAAGAAAAAAGAGAAGAGGCACGATGATGATGATACTGGTGAATATGATTGATTCACGATATAATGAATTTTTAGAAGCATTTGCGATGGACGATACCCGGACCAGATTCATCATATTCCTGTTTGGAAATCCACATCTGCTGGAAAGTGGACAACGAAGCCAGGATGGAACCGCCGATCCATACGGAGTACTTCCTCTCGGGAGGAGCGATGATCTTGATCTTGATAGTGGAAGGTGCGAGGGCGGTGATCTCTTTTTGCATACGATCGGCAATACCGGGATACATAGTGGTACCACCAGAAAGGACAGTATTAGCATAGAGATCCTTGCGGATGTCTACGTCGCACTTCATGATGGAGTTGTAGACAGTTTCATGGATTCCGCAGGATTCCATACCCAGAAAGGAAGGTTGGAAGAGAGCTTCGGGACAACGGAATCTCTCGTTACCAATGGTGATGACTTGACCATCAGGCAACTCGTAGCTCTTCTCAAGAGACGTGCTGGCCGCAGCGGTGGCCATTTCCTGTTCGAAATCCAGAGCGACATAACAGAGCTTTTCCTTGATATCACGGACAATTTCTCGCTCCGCCGTGGTGGTGAAGCTGTAGCCTCTCTCGGTGAGGATTTTCATGAGGTAATCGGTAAGATCGCGACCAGCCAAGTCCAGACGGAGAATAGCATGAGGAAGGGCATAACCTTCATAAATTGGTACGGTGTGAGAGACACCGTCACCGGAGTCCAAGACGATACCGGTGGTACGACCGGAGGCGTACAAGGAAAGGACGGCCTGAATGGCGACGTACATGGCCGGGCTATTGAAGGTTTCGAACATGATCTGCGTCATCTTCTCGCGGTTAGCTTTCGGATTCAAGGGCGCTTCGGTAAGAAGAACGGGGTGTTCTTCCGGAGCGACACGTAATTCGTTGTAGAAGGTGTGATGCCAGATCTTCTCCATGTCGTCCCAATTGGTGATGATACCATGTTCTATCGGATATTTTAATGTCAATATACCTCTTTTACTTTGCGCCTCATCCCCAACATAGCTGTCTTTTTGGCCCATACCGACCATCACGCCCTGTAGACAACGAATATTACCTAATATAAACACGTTTTTTTTTAATTTGTATCAGAAGAACATTTAACCAACCTGATGACGAGGGCGGCCGACTATACTAGGAAATACAGCACGTGGTGCGTCATCCCCTGCGAATCCTGCCTTGCACATACCGGACCCATTGTCCACGACTAATGCCGCAACATCATCATCACACATCTTGAGCACCTGTTACTGTTACTTTCTGCGCATGCACACCGAGAAATACAAAGAAATATTTACATAAATCATTATTATTAATTACAATAATGAAATGGTATAATTTAATATTTTTTTATCAATATATAAACTTATCGAATTGGAAAAGACTCATCAATAAATATATACAAGTCGATAGACGGGAATTAGAAAAGTCAAATTCGGTCTCTAAGAATAAATCTCTAATAAAAAAAATATTCTACTGCTGCTTTAATTAATAACTCATTCACCAAATATCACTTCACGTCTTAGAAAACCTCTCTTGGTTCGTTTCACACTTTTTTTAAGGATTCTAAGGAAAATGTCGTCCGATCGGTCCTAGAGATTTCTTAGCGATCAACCCCTGAGCGCTTGTAGTACTCAAGAGTTCAATTTTAACTTATTAACACTATTTAGTCAAATCACTGTCGATTTTATGAGTATCAATTTTAGGAAAGCGAAGAAGACCGGATCAGAGGAAATTGAAAGAAGAAGAAGAAGATCCCGAAGATCCGCGCGAATCGAGAGAGTCGAAGCAATCGGCGGTCGTTAGGAATACACAATAGCGATTTACCGTTCACTAATGTGAGAATCGAGGGAGAGAGATCGGCTCGATCGGCTTAAGGTCGCGTGTAACGTCGTGCAAGAGGCTGGCAAGTGGCGCAGTACCGGCTCCGTAGGGTCCCTTTATCCATATCGGTCGGCGGCTGAAAATAGCGGTCCGCCCCTTACATAGAAATCGGCTGTCCGCGTTAACGTCGGGCCGCACCGCCCATTAGTGCTAGTCCTTAGTTTGCCCTAAAGAGAGGAGCAGTAATGGAGGGAGAGGGAGGAAAACACCAGGCATCGCGACAGTGGTGGCCGACGACTCTCGGATCCAAATAAGGACTCGCTTCGCGACAGGGCCGTCGATTGTTCTTGTCACGGGCCTCGACCACGAAATAAAGGGTTCAAAAGGATCGAGGGTGAAGCTCAAAAAGTTGAATCTTGAAAGATGGAAAGCTTGAAAAAATAAATATAAAGAAATTCAGCGAAGAACCAAACGGGACGTAAAGGATTCCAATCCGAAGAAGTAAACTTGGAAAACTAATTCTTCAAGGATCACGCCTTGAGGGATCAAAAGATATAGATAGATTTAGAAATAGAAATTAAAATATTTAATTTTGGACGATTAAATATCAAAAGGCCAAAATTTTTAAACAGATGAATTGAGCTTTCGAAGTAATTGGATCTCAAAAGAGTAAACTTCGAAGTACAATGAGCGAGAGTCTTGAGGCGTCTTGTTCTGCATTCTTCAAGCACAGTCACAATGCGGAAGATAAATCTCTTTCTTTGGACTACAATAACAGATTTAAATGGCTCGTTAATTTGAAAAATAAACTTCATTTTTAATTGTCACTCATTAACAGTACAAAGATATTTATTAAATAATCGAGATTATGTTGCCAAAAATAATAATTCGTATTATATTCGCACTTTTGGCGCGTGTTATTAACATTGGCAGCGCATCACGTTTAAGATTCGTTGATATGATATGACATTTAAACATATCGGCAAAAGAGCGTTATTGGTGCGATTAAAAGATAAAGTGACCAACTGCAATTTGTTATAATTGGCAGGTGCACGGGGCAACTCGTTTACTCGAGCCATCGCAAAGATCCCCTCTTCCATCTCTTGCACAGCCGGCAAAGCCGATGCTGGTGCCGATTCACAATTGCCGAGTTCAACCCCGAAAGGGCGCATCTTTTGTCGAATATCTCTTACTCGTCCTCGCTACGTTCAACTGTTACAATCAGGACAACTTCAGCGAGTGCGGAACGATGATCAGATCTCCATCGGACAAAACACCGAAGGTGAATGTTATTCCGTTTTTATTTTGCTCCAAAAAACAAGAACGAAACCCCTCGGAAGGATTTAATTAGCTAAAAAAATTATCATAATTTAGCTAGAAAAATGGTCAAATTTTAGAAATACAAAAAATTTAGAATCCTGTATGTTTATTTGCAAAATTTTAATTGCGTATCCATTGTTAATTTATTGAATTTCAAAAGCACGTAAGAGAAACTCCACAATTGCCATAGCCGTAAAACAAATAAAACGCTTATGCACGGAATTAACACATTGTTATTTATGACTTTTGCATAACAAATATATTGTTGATTTGATTTACTTAATGTAAGCTACCTTTCCCTAGTTGTATTTGTAACCATATAATAAAGTATAGCTTTATGTCATTTCTGTCGACAGAATATGTAATATAGCGAAATTGTACTTTAGATTTTGAACATCTGGAATGTTACCAGATATATCAGATATCCCCGATCATATTTTATGTAATCTCGGTTATGCTTTACGTTTTATGTAATATGTCACGCTTATATGTTCATTAACGGACAATGCACACTTATTGCAAAATCACAAGTTTGTTGAAAGGTGAACTTGAAAAACATATGATTACTGCTATATTTAATTTGTAATTTTATGTTTTTAAATCAAATTGTTAATATGTTAATAAATACCAGTGACATATATAATACAATTTAGATAATACAATATGCAGAATGCACTTGCACAAATTATAATTATAATAAATTTTTTTAATAATTTCAACTATTTTCAAGTTTCAAATTTTACAAAGCTTTCATGCTTATCATAATTTTATCTCATTTAAAACATTACTAAGTAGATTAAAGAAAGTTTGATAAAATCCTACATACAAATTCTAACTTTACGATTTAGAAAATATGTGTATGAAAATAAGTGTGTGCATATATTTCAGTTATATACTTTCAATTTCTAACGTCTATCATGGAGATTATTCATTTGAATCAGGATATTAAATAAATAAATTTGTTGTTAAGTTAATTAATTTAATTATGAAATAAATTAGAAAAAATATTTTAAGGCAAAACTATTTTAATTAGTAATATATTTAGTAATATATTATCAATTATTTTATTTAGTAATATATTAGTAATATATTTAGCAAAATCAATTAACGTAATTCGATTAATGTAATCCATTAATCAAATTAAATATTACTATTAGTATTCGCGTAAATATAAGGGTATTGAAGAATGAAAAATTATGAATTGTTGTAAGAGAGAAATATAAGATTGATTTATTCCATAGACGTAAACTTATATACAAAAGATGACGTATATGCTCGTATGATAATTGTCGGTAAAAGACTCGCCGCCATGGACCAATAGCAATGACAATAGTATTCGACTAACGGAGACCCAACTAGACGAAGCGATGCGGCAGTGAACGGTACATCTTAGGGAAAAGTGTAGCAATAATAACAATAATAGTAAATAGCATCGAGCGTAATTGCTTAGAAGCACTTGCGGTGGACGATGCCAGGGCCAGATTCGTCATATTCCTGCTTGGAGATCCACATCTGCTGGAAGGTGGACAGGGAAGCCAGGATGGAACCACCGATCCATACGGAGTACTTTCTCTCTGGAGGAGCGATAATCTTGATCTTGATGGTCGAGGGTGCGAGAGCGGTAATTTCCTTTTGCATACGGTCGGCAATACCAGGGTACATGGTGGTACCACCGGAGAGGACGTTGTTGGCATAAAGATCCTTACGGATATCAACGTCGCATTTCATGATGGAGTTGTAAACGGTCTCGTGGATACCGCAAGATTCCATACCCAGGAAGGAAGGCTGGAAGAGAGCCTCGGGTGTACGGAACCTCTCGTTACCGATGGTGATGACTTGACCATCGGGCAACTCGTAGCTCTTCTCGAGAGAGGTGCTAGCCGCAGCGGTGGCCATTTCCTGTTCAAAGTCCAGAGCGACATAACAGAGCTTTTCCTTGATATCGCGAACGATTTCTCGCTCAGCCGTGGTGGTGAAGCTGTAGCCTCTCTCGGTGAGGATCTTCATGAGATAGTCGGTAAGATCGCGACCAGCCAAATCCAGACGGAGAATAGCATGAGGAAGGGCATAACCTTCATAAATTGGTACGGTGTGAGAGACACCGTCACCGGAGTCCAAGACGATACCGGTGGTACGACCGGAAGCGTACAAGGAAAGGACGGCCTGAATGGCGACGTACATGGCCGGACTGTTGAATGTTTCGAACATGATCTGCGTCATCTTCTCGCGGTTAGCTTTAGGATTCAGGGGCGCCTCGGTAAGAAGAACGGGATGTTCCTCCGGAGCGACACGCAATTCGTTGTAGAAGGTGTGATGCCAGATCTTCTCCATGTCATCCCAATTGGTGATAATACCGTGCTCGATCGGGTATTTCAGAGTCAGGATACCTCTCTTGCTCTGGGCCTCGTCACCCACGTAGCTGTCCTTTTGACCCATACCGACCATCACTCCCTGATGACGAGGTCGACCGACAATCGAGGGAAAGACGGCACGAGGAGCGTCGTCGCCGGCAAAACCGGCCTTGCACATGCCAGAGCCATTGTCTACGACTAGAGCAGCTACTTCGTCGTCACACATTGTGATTTTTCTTCGATTTCAACGCTCTGTAATAAGAATTACGGTATCCGTTAGGCTGATTATTTTCGTGTCAGTTCTATGATAATTGTTTAGAATGATTATTATTATTCATAATTTTAATATTAATATAGAGTATAGACTATTTTCACTTTTTCTGTAGTCACATCTTATATCATCCATATCGTCTTTTTTAATAACTTTTTTTAGTTCTTTAGCAATAGAGAGTTTTATCAATTATAAGAGATATAACAATCAAAGTTTTATTAAGAACAAGTTATAAAATCTGAAATATTATACATGCATCATTATTATGTTATATAATTAACTAATGATTTTATTTTTGTTATATAATTAATCAATGATTTTATGAAGAACGAAATGAAATTAAAAACTAAAAATGATATGCCTAATGTATTTTTCTTTCTTAATATTTTTTATAAATTAAAAAAGAAAGTTAATTACACACGCATAATTAAAATCAATTGTGTCAATTGACTGAATAATTCTGTAAAAATAAAAATCTTTAATTAGAAAAAAGTAGTATTCAAAATTAATATAATAACATAAGTATTAAAATATATCTAATTGCAGTTTTTTAATTACAGGTTCTTCAAGTTTTTCCCAAAGAAGTTTGCATACTTCTTCAGAAGCGGAAGTCCTTTATTTCAAAGGCGAAATTCAAATAGATAAAGTTATCGAAGTTATTCAAGAAGAAATATTATTTCACACATCCGACGATAGCCGGCAAATTTTGAGGGCTTCCCGATAAAGCTGGTTCCCGGTGAGCGTTGCGCGAAGCCAGAATTGACCTAGTTGCCTATAAAGCGATAGGCAAAGTGGCCCCAGCGTCGCGGCGCTATTTTCGCCCGGCGCGTCGCTAACTTTAGACGTATGGTCGTCGGACGCTCCCTAATAAGTTCAAGCGACGATTATGGTTGCCGACGCTGCCACCGCCGTAGCCGACGACGACAACGATGACGCCGACGGATAAAACATAACGCCCCGCCGCGAGGCAACGGCGAGCATGCCAAAATTATGCTTGCTCGCAGAGAAGGACCAACACTACTGGCACGGCCGACGACCTCGACTACGCGACTGTGAACACGACTACGAAGAAGCATCCCTTCGCCCCACGTTTGAGAGTATATGGCTTTTACGAATGGTATCGGTAACGTTAATCGGTAATGTTAACGCGCTGGCTGTAATCCTAAAAAGAGCCCAGCCAAAGAGGCCAGTTATGTTTAAAGTTAACCGATGTTGGGGGAAACGGATCCTTTAGAGAAATGAGTAATTTTAGGAATCGAGAAAGCACGAGAGGTACGATCCAGAAGATGAGCCCTTTTATGGTCATCGAGAGATGCGTAAACTTAATATACACGTAATATATGCGTAAACTTAATATTCTCAATTTTATTGATTTGCTTAATATTCTTTTAACATAAGTAGATAAGAGAGTGTCATAAACATAAGTAAAAGTATTTTAACGTTAGTAAAATGGTTTCTACATTTTTGCAACTTAATTACTTGATACTCTTGATACTCTTGATACTCTTTTATAAATTTTATAGCATTTTTGGCTAAATATTTAAAATAATAAAATAATATAATAAAATAATATTTTAAAATAATTTTAAAATAATTTATTGTCAATTGCGCAAAACTAAATCGTAGAGGTCTATAAAATGATTTATTTTTTAATCGTCTCTCATTTGACAAACTTAATTTTGTTTACATTTTTGTATAAATTTTCTATTTTTAAAATCTTAGAAAAATATATTTAGTAAACGTCAATTATACTAATTGCATAGTAATCTATCTCAAAAAATGTTTTATTAACTTAAATAGCAATTATTCTGTTAGATATTATTTAATATTATTGGAATGAAAATATAAATATTATAATCAAATTAGAGAGAAAGAGAGAGAGAGGAGACAGAGAGAGAGAGAACTCTTAGATACCTTTAAGTTTATTTTTATTATTATATTTTCAAATGTTATATAATAAGCAGATAATGTTAAACAGCTAATTAAGATTAGTTTGTTTGATATAGAACTCACTTTCTGCCTGTTGTCGAAATGGAAGGCGGATATACAATTGGATGCAACAATTATGCAAGTGGCTTGACAATACGCCAAGAAACAATCTCAATGAATATAGTAATACGCTGCAAACTTGAACTGCTTCCAGAGAATTCCAAAGATTCATCAATAAAGAAAAATTTTTTAAGGCAAGTAATATATTAAATAATCAGACAGGATTTCTGCAATATTTTTGTAACAAATTAAAATTTTTAAATAATACTTGTAAATACTCTTAAAAATTTAATTTAGATTTAATTTAGCGAATAAAATTAAAAGGAAATAATGAAAAATAAAAAATTAAAGAGATATAATAAAAATAAAAAATATAAAAATATAAAATATTTAATTCATATAATTTTGATAACAATTTGAATCTTTAGATTTAGATAAATATAAATTCAATTTGCTTATTAAAAGCAAAAAGTAAAATTTCTCTCTATTTTAAATACCATTCAATTTAGACAATTTTAATAATAAAATAATTATAAGAGAATGAAATGCCGAAGCATTAAAAGTATATTAAAATATTGTATAAATTATTAAAGTAATGTAGAATATCAAAAAACTCGAAAAACTTTAAATTTTATTTAATAATTCGATTAAACATCAATTAAAATAGTAATGAAGCTATTACTTCGTTTTGCTGGTTTTCTCGAACAATCCTACTGGTATAGCAGCTTATCACTTTAGTTCGCTAATCACTATACAACACGCGAAATGCCTTGATAAAGTAAAATCTGCTTGCGAGAGCAAGCAGAAAGCAATCGTAGTTTTCGAGAGGAGGAGATGTGCACCCAGCGGTGAAGGAAAAATTCGTGATACTGTGTCTACGTACCGTGCACGGGACAGAGGTGGAGCGGCGTCTGTGCCTCAGCGGCGTCGCGACGTCGATTATATGCTCTCGTCTGGACGCCCCCGCATTTTCGTGGGATGGTGCTTGCCCGACAGGCACGAAAAAGGCATCGCCTCGCGAGGCGTCGCGACGCTCGCCGAACTAGGCGGCCGCAGCCCCTAAGCGGACCGAGGAATATACTTCACCGCTTTGGAAATACATACCACGCGTTTCCCGCGTTGCACCGCGTGACGCCGTGATCGCTTCAACGTGAATTGACCCGGAGTTGGCTAATTTCCTTCCCTTATCCATGTGCATTACTTTGCAGATATTGACTAAAGTTGATTGAAATTTCGGAATTAATTATTCTTGACTCAAAGATATATTTGAACGTGAAGCTAGTGCTCGAGATCAAAAAGATATATTTATCACGAGAGCTTAATGAAGATTTTACTTTTAAATCGACATTTCAATATTGATGCTTAAATAATTAAGACTAATTATGACAAGTTATAAATTATGTTATATATTATATTTTATATAATATATAACATAATTTATGACTTATCATAATTAATCTTATAATTTTATATAATTTTACATCAATTTCAGCATTCTGGATAAAAATGTCGTCTATAAAAATATTTTAAGCATTTAAAAAATCTAATCAGAGCACTTTTTTTATAAAAAAAATTTTGAGGAGTATTTTTTAATAAATTCATACAATATACACACGCAAGCTGATCTTTTTTTATTTTCTTTTTCAAAATACAGCTTTTATAGGTAATGTGACAAGTCCCTTAAATACAGAATTAATATTCAAAATTTATATTTTTGATCTTTTTAACTATTTTTTTATTATATATAATAAATTTATTTTGAAACTGTAGATTTCTAATTCATAGAAGTATCGTTTCGTTTAAATAAACATATCGAACGTACATCAATGGATAGAAAACGGAAGAGATTGAAAGAGCCTTGATAGAGGCAGGAATCATGTTCCTATAGATGTTATGAGTTAGTAGAAGTATTTTGAGATTACACGATGCGACCAAAATAAACTTCTTCGCGAAAGCTTTTATCGCACAGATTCTCATTCTTAAATAAAATAAGGTTTTAACCAATCGTTTTTACCAATAAGTCGTTTACCAAAGACATGATAAATAACGAAAAACTGCACGAAATATAAACATGAAATATTAACATGTGACAGTAAATTTATATGCTTCTTTATTTTATCTAAGCAAATAATCTCTAGCGTTGACTAGCGTATTAATTAAAAACGATATACAAAGTTCTTGTGATAAAACATTAGCAAAAAAATTTATAAATAGTTAGTTTAAAAATATATAGATAGTTGTATGTAAAATTCATTAAAAATAGAGTGAATCTTGTATCAGCCCAAGGTTATTCATCGTGACTACAAACATACCTAACGATAACAGTTATTTTAAAATAATGTGAATCGCTACTTCGCTGCGATCAAAGACAAATTTGGATGCGAGAACGATGCGAAGAAAACTAATATAATGCTATATTCCTTAGCTTCAAATTCATCTACTATAGCGATTGTTAAATAATACTTGAAAGTGTTTGTAAAAATATAAAATTGATTGTAAAGTGCATAAGCAGGCTTCTCGCTTGCCTCAGCGTACAGTCGATTGAGAAAAAAATAATAATAATGAGGATAAAAAAGCAGAAGCTGAGACTGC